AATACCTTCTTTCTCCACCAAATCCTTCCTTATCCCCATCAACATTTCCCCCTTACACCTCCTCCTCTTCTCCTCCTTCTTCGCTATCTGTACCTCCCCATTCATATCCCCCTGGTAATTTCCCTCTTATCCTCCCCCATCCCTTCTCATTCATCCACGTCTCCACCAACATTATCATCTCCCATCCCTTCAACCCTCCCAAAAATCCTTATCCTTCCCCCCACTCCTGCCACATTCCAGAACACCGCTCACCATCTTCCCTCTGCTCCCTCCCCTCCTACCCGAGTTACACTCTAATTTAGTTCCTTCTTCCCCCTTCCCCTCAGCTCTCTACCGATGTCTCCTCCCTCTGCCCCCTCCCCCCGTTCCTATTCCCTCTTTCCCTCTCCACCTCTCAACTCTCTATCGATGTCTCCTCTCTCTGCCCCCTCCCCCGTTCCTCTTCTCTCACCCTCTCTTCCTCGTCTCTCAGCACTTCCTCCTCTTCGTCCCACCTCCATCATACGTTCCCAATCCTTATCCTCACTCTCCTCCCAACGCTCTCTTCCTTCCTCGCTATCTCCTCTAATTTCCATTTCATTCTTCTCTCCTTCCACGCCCAATCTTTCATGATTTTCTCTCTCCTGCTCCTCAGATTGCTCTTTTTCATTAATACCTCCCTCCTTTGCTCTTCGTTCCCTAGCCTTACCCACACTGTCTCCCTATCCTTCTTTCTGTCCCCTCCTATTCTTTTCACCTCCTTTATACTGACTTCTGCTCCTTTTCAAAAAAGGAAAAATGGTTTCCTCCACCCTCTCTTTCCTCATCCCCTCGCTTACCTTCATCCCTCTTATTAGGATATTTCTCTTTTTCCCCTCTCTCTCCTTCATCTCTATCTTCCTTTCCATCTCCCTTATCTTTCTCTCTACACTCCCCCCCCCCGTGTCTGCTCTTCCCCTTTTGCTACCCTTTCCCTTTCCTCTCTCTTCTCCATCTCTAACACTCTCTTCTCCATATCCTACAATCTCTTTCTCATCTCCTCCTTTCCGCTCTCCACCTCTCCTTCAACTCTCTTTTCATATCCTTCTATTTCTCCCCTCATCAACTTCCCTTGATCTTTGATTCTCTCTTTTACTTCCTCCTTCATCTTCTTCAACTCCTCCCTCCATCCCCCTCACCTCCTTAAACACTTCTTCCATCTCTTCCTTCCACTCCCCAATCATCTCATCTATCTCTCCTACTTTCTTCTTTGTCGGCGACCTAACCGCCTTCCTACTCTTATTAAATATTCCTTCCCCCTCTTCGTCCCCCGATCCCTCCCTTTTCCTTTTTAACAACTCCTCTATATTCCCATAACTCCCCCTTCTCTCCCTCCCTTCCGTCATTCCTTTATCTTTCGTTTCTGCCATCTTAACTTGGCGCCCTCTACAGTCACTGTAGCTTGATTCCTATTCTTGCTCCTCTCTATACTTTATCTATTCCTTGCCTATCTCCTAACTGTCACCTCAACCGCTTTCTTCTCCACCCTTTTACTTCTTTTCCTTTCTATCCTCGTCACTTCCTATACTCTCACCTTACTTCTCACTCCTTTACTCTCACCCTCACACACTTTTACTCTCCTCGCTCCTCTACTTCACCCTTATTTTTATTCCCAAAATACGCTTCACACTTACACGTGTCACCCGCCTACGCAACGGAAACGAAAGTCCCATAAATGAAAAAGTAAACGATGATATTTAACAACAATGACCTAAGTAAAAAAAATGCGCATGCTCGAATATTATTAGCGGGAATGTAAGAAGAAAATAAGTTTCACGAGGGTCCCATCCGCGCCGGCCGCATGCTCGGGCTAGCGTTTTCTGTTATGCATGCGAGCGGAAAGCATCGCTGATTAGCCGATACATGGTGCACGACCGCGAGTAAGCGTATTCATGCGAAGGTAGGCTCGCATCGGCAACTTTCGCGAGCATCAACGCTAATAAGCTCTAATTGGTTCTCCATATACGTCTATAGTAAAAATAAAATGCTTAAATTGCGGAAAATATATTTTAAAATATATTTTGTATCGTCTAAATTACAAAATACCTATACATGCTCGTATTTTATGAATCAATTTATAGCTGACTCAGACAAACACTATCCCCTGTGATATAATGATAATAATAATAATAATATCTAGAGATTCTTCAAAGCCTAAACACACGTTAAAAAACTAGAAATATCCAATAAAATAATCTCATCTTAAGATAACCGTCAAAAGTTTTTATTTTAAAATAGACCCGCAGTAGGATAACAAGGCCGGTTCTAACCCTGGTCCTCTCAGGGAAGTGAAGTGCGAGGGGATCTCAGTGGAGCGGGGGTATGACGTCACGCGGGATTTCGTTGGCGCGGGGGTTGCGGGGTGGGGGACGCACGTGTTGAATGTTTTATGACAAGTATAAACAAAAAAAGAGCGGTATTCTTTTGAAGAGGATTTTGGGCCTTACCAAAATCATTTTCCCCCTTTTTTTTTATTTTATTTTATTTTAAGAAAAAATTTAACAGCATCGATGTTCGACTGCTTTGTGCCCTTGCCGTGCGTGTGAGAGAGAACGATGATAGTGCAAAAAGAACGCATACGAGAGAGAGAGAGAGAGAGAGAGAGAACAATACTTATAATAACGAGACTTAAAATTAATGCGAGAGCGCACGAAGGATTGGAGCGCAAGGGAAAGGCGTGTAAATAATTGTATTTTTTTTGTTACAATTAAAAATATATAGTATAATTTATTTAAATGTGTGAGTTTAATAAAAAAGTATCCAATATAAAAGTATATAAAAATATCCAATATAATATATATAAAAATATTCAATATGGAAGTCGCAGGGGGATAGAGGGGACCGCTCCTGAAACAGAAGAAAACATATACATTTCATTAGTTTAAATTATTTAATACTTTATTTTAAGATACTTTTGATATAATATAATAAATAAATTTATATAATAAATTAAAAAATACTTACAATGTTATCCATGACTCATCTATTTTAATGTTTGCAAAGAGAGCACATGTCGCACGGCATTATTTGATGCAAAGATTTCCTGTACTCTTTGCAGGACATATCGGTCAAATATTGATAATATATACATTGATGTACCCGAACAGAAGTAGCTTGTACAAATAGAAACGATAGCCGGAGGAAGCATTCGACGCAATATTTCGATCCATTTTCCTCATAATAGCATGATATACAACATATTTTTATTTCTTTATTTAATGTTAATATTTCGGATAAGTCTAAATGTCGTTGTTTCTTTTGAAATAATTCATCACCATCGTCACTATCGTCACTATCGTAGTCACTGTCTGTTAAGGGTTCTATTTCTATATCAGACCCATCCTCGTCTGATAATTCATGGAGATCACCAATATCCATCTCTCTCTCCTCTCTCTCTTCTCTCTCTATCTCTATCTTCTCAGCCACAACTGGATCCATTGTAATCATCATCGATGAAAATTACGTTTTCTTCAGCCATTGCACAAGATTACCGAAACACAGAAGAGCAACGAAAGAAATGATACTCTAATGCAGCAGACTCCTCTTCGTTTTATATATTTTTAACATAAACAATATATAGCGGTATTCCCTGGAAGAGGATTGCATCTTAGAGTTAAACCTTTTTTTCTTTTCTTTTTTCTTTTCTTTTTTCTTTTCTTTTTTCTTTCTTTTTTCTATCGATGTTCATGCTCTTTCTGCGTTGTACCTTCCCACATTCAAAAGATAAGAAAGGATTGGACGAAATATATATAAGGAGGAGGAGGAGGATTGAAACATATCAAATCAGTACGGAGGTAGTACGGAGGCGTGGGGGACGCTTGGGGACGTGTTTGATGTTTTTTATCATAAGTATAAAATAAAAGTACAATATTACATAAGCCGATGTCCGGCTGGTAAACAGCGATATTTGAAGAGGATTGGATATTAGGCCGACCCAAAATTATTTTCCATATTTTTTCTTGGAAGAATTGCAACGTATCAGCGCCGATGTTCGGCTGCTTTGTGCTCTTGCCACGCGTGTGAGAGAAAACGAATTTTTTCTGAGATGTAAATAAAAATTGATTATTACGATACACCATACTTATTTATTTTACACAAAGATAAAAAGGTTTAGACGAAATACAGGGATGATTGAAGCGCTTCAAGTCACTGTGATTTGAGCGCATCGACACGCCGGTTGTAGGAGAGTATAGTAGTGTCCTGTTAGAAAGATTTTTGTGCGATTTTACGTTCAAGATAGCGAACGGTATTGTTTATCGTGTGTATGTAAAAGTCACGTGCAAGTGCTTCGTAGAAAACTGTGACATAGTGTAAAAAAAGACAGGAAGAAATCGAAAACATCGAGCAGACTGAACGCGATCTGGTGGAGCGATCTCGCCAAATTGTCACCTTGGGCGAGTATTTTGCATGGCTGCAACGTTGCGAGGAATTGATCAAAGAGCTCGAAGAACGCAGTCGTGTTAAGCGTCCGCGACTCTCGATCGGAAATAGACAATCTCTGGCTAAAATCGCGCGACTCGAAGGTGCAAAAACTCGATTGCAGAGACGATTTATTCCCAGTGGTGGTGATTACAGCGATGATAATAACGCGAAAAGACTCGTTTGGCGAGAGATCGATACCGCGTTCGATAGCCGCATTCTGACCAGTGCTGTGATTAATGCAAACCATATCGAACCTCGTCAATTTCTCGAGGATGCCGAAGACATTGTGCTCAAGCAAATCCAAGACGTTATAAAAAGACACAACAGTGTAAAAGTAAATACAGTGTTTAACGGTGAATTTGTGTCGGGTATAGCGTACAAATAAAAGTATAAATACGAGAAACTGTGAACTCTTTCGCACATCAGATTTACGCGAGTAGTACGAGCGCCGCATTATCGAGCCCACTCTAGCATCGCTGGACGAATTTCAGGAACGCGATAGTGGCTAGGCATTGTCGCGAATACAGAATTTGACTGTGAATATTAATAAATATAATCCAATGTGTGCGGGATGTTATATTAAATTGCCGCGAGAGATTGCGATGAAGAAAGCGGTGGTTAACGTACAGTCTAAAGACAATGCATGTTTCGCGTGGGCAGTGGTCGCCGCTCTATATCCCGCAGAAAGAAAGATGGAACGGGAATCATCGTACCCACCTTACGCGACAGTGCTGAATCTCCGGGATATTGAGTTTCCAGTGACTGTGAATCAAATTAAAAAATTTGAACTCGCAAACAGTATCTCGATCAACGTGTACAGCATCGAGAAAAAGAACAACATTGCCTCGGCACGTCTTTCGGAGCAGAAGCGGGATAAGCACATCAACTTGCTATACGTGGAAGACGGTAACAACAGCGTCGGACATTTCGCATGGATCAAGAATTTATCGCGACTTGTCGGTTCACAGTTGAGCAAAAAAGATCACAAGAAATACATCTGTGACCGGTAAGTTTAATTTATATAATTCAAATAATTATAATTTATATAACAAATTATTCAAATCTTAATTTAAAAAAAATTTTTCTTTTACAGATGCCTGCATTATTTTAGTTCAGATGACAAGTTGCAGTCGCATACGGTCGACTGTCGTGAGATGAATGACTGCGCTATGCGATTGCCGAGCGATAAGGACAAGTGGCTCCAATTCAACAACTTCAATTGGAAGGAGCGGATTCCATTCGTCGTGTACGCCGACCTGGAATGCGTTCTGGCCAAGACGGAGGAAGAACAACAAAAATTGTACCAACATCACCAAGTATTTAGCATAGCTTACTATGTACATTGTTCGTACGACGAATCTTTATCGGCGTATCATTCGCGTCGTAGCGCCGATTGTATAGCATGGTTCGTCGAAGATCTTAAAAATTTAGCGTTAAGAATATTTTATCGACTAATGTCCCCATGGTAGATTTGACGTCCAAAGAACGGAAAAAATTTTATCACGTTACTCAATGTCACATATGCGAAAAACCGTTCGCGAAAGACGATAGACGCGTTCGCGATCATTGTCATTTGACCGGGCGGTATAGAGGTCCTGCGCATTCAAATTGTAATTTAAATTACATAGAATCTTTTTGTATTCTCATAATCTTTCACAATTTATCCACAATTTATCTTTCCAATTTAATTTTTTACGCACTTTATTATCGAGGATATAGCTACGGCGTTCGAAGGGAAAGTCGAGTTACTTCCGATAACGAAAGAAAAATATATATCGTTTATGAAAAATGTTGACCTTAAGGAATACAATTGGAAAAATCATGTAAAATTACGCTTCATCGATTCGTGCAAATTTCTTGCATCGAGTTTCGACAAATTGGCATCATTTTTAGATAAAGATAAGCTCAAAATTTTAAAATCAGAATTTCAAAATTTATCAACAGAAAATTTCAATTTATTAACACGGAAGGGCGTCTTTCCGTACGAATACATCGACTCTGTGGATAAGTTGCAAGATACGCGTTTACCACTGCGCGAATCGTTTTACAGTTCCTTGATCGGTGAAACTATATCCGAGAGTGATTACGCGCACGCCGAGAACATCTGGATGCGATTCTCCATTCAAACGCTGGGCGAATATAGCGATTTGTATCTAAAAATCGACGTCTTGTTATTAGCCGATATTTTCGAAAACTTTCGCGATAGTTGCATCAAAAATTACGGACTCCGCGTATTACTATACTTTCCCCGGATACACGTGGGACGCCATGTTAAAGCATACGAAGATTACGTTCGAACTGCTTACAGATATCGACATGGTTATGTTTATTGAACGTGGCATGCGCGGTGGTCTAAGTCAATGTTCTAACAGATACGCGAGCGCTAATAACAAGTACATGGGGTCGTATGATCCATCGAAACTATCGTCGTACTTGATGTATTTTGACGTTAATAATTTATACGGATGGGCAATGTGCCAACCGTTGCCATATACTGATTTTCGATGGGTCCACGACGTGTCGAATTTTAACGCATCATCTATAGCGCTAGATTCCCCTACAGGCTATATCCTCGAAGTCGACCTCGAATACCCGCAACATCTTCACGATACGCACATTGACCTACCGTTTTGCCCGACGCGCGACAAGCCGCCCGATAAGCGGGAATTCAAACTGCTTGCAACATTATACGATAAGAAGCGTTACGTGGTACACTACCGTAATTTACAGCAATGTACGCGTCACGGCCTTCGTGTAACAAAAATACATAGAATTTTACAGTTTTCTCAATCTCCATGGCTTCGAAATTATATAGAATTAAATACACAGTTTAGAACACTTGCGAAAAATGATTTCGAGAAAAATTTATATAAATTAATGAACAACGCGGTATTTGGTAAAACAATGGAAAATGTACGTAATCATGTTGATGTAAAATTATTAACAAAGTAGGACGGACGATACGGTGCAGAGACAATGATCGCAAAACCAAATTTCCACAGCAGAAGCGTCCAAGATGTGTTTATACGAGTTTCATCACGAGTACATGTCTTTCCTGTATCGCGACAAATGTAAGATCATGTACACCGACACGGACAGTCTCACATATATCACATTGAGTGCGCGGATGTATATGATAACATGAAGCGCGATATCGCCAGATTTGACACGAGCGATTATGCGGTAGACAATGCGATAATGGTATGCCGCTTGTAAATAAAAAGGTGCTGGGTTTAATGAAGGACGAAAATAACGGTGCGATAATGACCGAATTCATCGGGCTCAGGGCAAAGATATACGCGTTACGCGTGGACGGAAAGAAAGACACGAAGAAAGTTAAAGGCGTCAAGAGCAACGTTGTCGCGAGAACGATAACGTTTGACGATTACATGCAGTGTTTGAAAGAAGAAATTGAAATGACGCACCAGCAGTCGTGTATACGATCTAAACTGCACAAAGTATACACGATCCGCGAGACGAAAATTGCTTTGAGTCCGTACGACGATAAGCGGTATATCGTACCCGAAACCACAGATACATTACCGTGGGAACATTATAGGATATCATTGTAATATGTAATGTAAAATATAAAATGTAAAATGTGTGTGATAAACTATCTATTAAAAGAAATATTAATAAAGATTTTTATATTGCACATATTTTTATGTAATGTAATGTATATTTCATATATTTCATCTTATTATCTTATTAAAAAATACATGTACTATCGAAAGGAATATTAATAAGGATTTTTTGTATTTTTTATATTTCATATATTTTTATGTGTATCTCATACTTATTATATCTTATTAAAAATACATGTACTATCGAAAGGAATATTGATAAGGATTTTTATGTATATTTTCATTTCTTGAAAATGAAAAAATAAACACTGTATGACTAATTAAATCATATTGTCTTTATGTATCCAAGAGTTGTGCGAATTGTCAAATCTCAGCCATTTCATGTAAACCTCGTCACCCCTCTTGCGCAGTACTTTCTCCACGAGATACATATCCGGATAATTCGTGCGATGCAACTCGTGTTCGTAGAACGCTCCAGCGATAGATTTTTTGCGATAATCCTCAAGTAAATAGCTTACGGGATTAGTATGCTGCACTTTTATAATTTTAAACACCTCGGTTGTCCAATTTGGTGTGTAACCCTTCTCGAAAACTGTCTTGTACTTGCTAACACGTACCGAGTCACCTACTTTGAATTTTGCCGGACCCGCGATATTTACACGGTTGTACACAGTAGCCAAGAGTCTTTCAGCGATCGCAAGGGTAACGTCGACGGGCCACATACCGATCGTTCGATGCTTGCGCGCGTTGTAATACGATACGAGTCCCGGCAACACGTTGATCCATTTGTAAGATCCGTTTAGCGTAAACATCTTCCACATATCGTTTTTCAGCGTGCGATTGAATCGCTCAACGATCGATGCCTTTAATATCGAATATGTATATCGAATAATGATTGATGTCGTGTTTCCGCATGAGCCGTTGCACATCGGCGTTATAAAATTCCTTCCCCATATCGGTCTGTATATTTTTCGGACACCTCTTGCTATCTCGAATTATCTTGGCGATAGTGTCAGCTGTCTCGCTTCCGCCTTTACTCTTGAGTGGTACGGCCCACGCGTGCTTGCTCAACGCATCGATGACAGTGAGTATGTAGTTGTAACCTCTGTTGAAACGAGAGTACGGACGCATCTCGACGATGTCGGCTTGCCACAGGTCACCGTATCCCTGCACTATGACGTGTCTTCAGGGGAAATTTTTTCTCGCCGTGCATGCAGTTCGTTCACCAACTGCCGTTTCTCTAAACTATGTTGTTTCTTCGCTTCCTCGGTCATTCTCGATCGTCGACCCATCGTTGTTTCGATTCGACGATCAAATAAACGATACGTATCATCGTGCGTTTTATTATTCGTGGTCACTCTTTAGCCGTTCCTAAGCAATTCCTTAGCCGTTCACTGCCGTTCGATAGCCGTTCAATAGCCGTTCGATAGTCGTTCGATAACCGTTGCTAACCCGTTCGTAGCCGTTAACTGCCGTTCTTGACCCGTTTATTGCGTCCCGTTTAAGTAGTCCGTAGCCTCGTTCACAGTCATTTTTGACCCGTTCGTAACTTCGTTGACAGTCGTTTTTGACTCGTTCATAGCCGTTCTGGACTTGTATGCCGCCTCGTATGTAGCCGTTCCTGACGTGTTCATAGCCTTGTTCGCAGCCGTCTTTGAGGTAGCCTCGTTCGCAGCTGTTCTTGAATCGTTCGTAGCCTCGTTCGAGGGCGTTTCCTCTTCAATCACTGCCACTCATTATAGCTCGATAACCGTTCGTAACCGTTCGATAAGTCTTTGTAGATGTTTAATAATATATTGTACAATAGCCGCACCTAAGCCGTTCACTACAGTACATTACAGGTTGACAGCCGTTTCTGAATTAGTGTTAATCGTACGACGAAGCTCGTTTATCGCAATCTGCAAAGCTCGCACGTCCTTCTCGAATGCAGTCAGCTTCTCGTCTGATTATTTCTGCTGATTCTTCAACCTTTTAACGCATTCTTCCACGTACAATTTATTGACTGCATCGGTATCAGCCTCAGGTTGCGCTATACGGCGAAATTTGCGCGATCTCGCGTCATAGTCCGTAGCGACGCGACACAGAGCGTTTTGACGCAAGTAACTAAGAAATCGCGTTATATATTTCGATAGTTTCGGCAATCTTTGACTACCGAATGAACTGGTGCAATATTTCGGACCAAACGTAACGAAGATACAGTACAATTACACACCTGTTCAAACTTACGATCAGAGCATCTGTGGACAATTGTGCTTGCAGTTTCTTCGAACGGTCGATACGTGTGAATTTAAAGACTGATATTGCTCTATTTAACTCAGTATTCGTTAAACAGTTTTGCCGACATGTCTATGACATTCACGTTGAGTGGGAAGAGTAGCGTTCTCACGGCAAACTTCTTTCCCGCCGTAAATTTGGGCGACGATGCATACGAACTCGGTCTAACGGATTTTGAAACTTATCACACGATACCGAATGTGAATTCCTCGAATAATAAATTTTACTTTGGCAAAAACGACGCGGAAATTTCCCGAGGGATCGTATGAGTTGCGAGATATACATGAATTTTTGAAACGTGCAATTTCACGGAAACATCGCGATAAGAAACACATTGACGGTGATAACTATGAAGATGATGATGAATATCCGATAGTGCTCCGCGCTAATTACAATGCGATGAGGAGCGAGATCAAATGCGCATACAGAATAAATTTTACCATACCGGATAACATTGGATCGCTGCTAAGATTCTCGAATCGTATTCTCGAGCCGCGAAAATGGTACGAATCGAACATGCCGATTAACATTATCAACGTGAATATTATCCGCGTAGAATGTAACGTCACCGCGGGCGCGTACAACAAACTCGTTCATATGATACATGAATTTTCACCGAGAGTATCAACGGGATATAAGATATCGGAAACGCCGACGCAGATCATTTACCTGCCGATCATCGCGCGGAGCATTACGGATTTAATGTTACGCGTTGTCGACCAGAACGGACGATTGCTCGATTTTCGAGGAGAAGAGATCACCGTAAGATTGCACGTACGACGATGGCTACGGCGATAATATACGTATGCGACGTATGAGATGCTCGTGTTGAACGGATCGAAAGACGTGAGAGATAACGCAATCTTTACGAAACCAGCGACACCAACAACAACATCGACGTTCGCTAATATCCAATCATTCAAAAAGAAACTCAGCGCATCGAACATTGCGTTTTTGCAATCTTTGGGATTCGCGGTGCGAAACAGCTGAACGATGACTGACATCCTCAACATCGGTGACGAACCGGTCTTTGATGATCGTATCGTCAAGATCGAGACTCACACGTACAATCCGTTCGCCAATACAACGTTCGGACACAATGACGAGATAAGAATACGCATACAACAACAGGATCTGTATACGCTGCCGCATGAGAGTTTCCTATACATCGAGGGACAACTAACGAACAACAAAGCAGCATCTGAAGAAGAAAGTGATGTAATACTGGGAAATTGCGTTCATGTTCGATGAGATTCGGTACGAACTCGACGGCGTTGAGATTGATCGTAATAGAAACGAGGGAATAACTACTACGCTCAAAAACTATGTAACAGTATCATCCGATAAAAGTATGGTTTTGATGAATGCCGGTTGGGGGGATCCGACGATCTATGCGGATGGATACTTCAATTTTTGTGTACCGCTCTACATGTTATTGGGATTTTGCGAAGATTACAGACGCGTGGTGATTAACGCTCTTCACGAATTGATCTTGATA